GTGGGGGGGCGGGAACCAAGGCTGGCTGTTACAGTTTGAATCTAGACTATCCCCCACGGGCCTATGTCTTGAGGGTTTGTTCCCCAGCTGGTGGTGTCTTCTGGGAGGCTATGGAACCTTTTAAGTGATAAGGCCTGGCTGTGGAAGAAGGTTCACTAGGATTCCGTCTTTGAAAATTATGCCTTGCCCCCGGTTCTGGTCTCACTCTCTGCTTTCTACTCCACTGATACATGAACTGAGCTGTTCACCAGTCTTCCTTGCCATGAGCCATGATGGATTGAAACCTCTGAAACTGTTGTTTAAAATAAAATGTTGTGGGCTGGAGAGGCAGCTCAGCGGTTAAGAGCACTGTCTGCTCTTGCAAAATGTGGGGCCTCTCCCTCCCCTCATGGGTCATTGGCCACAGATCCACAAGGACAAAGGGAGCAGAAGTGATGATCGCGGTTAGGGTCAGTGAGCACTGATGGAAGAAAGCCCTTCGGGGAGGCAGATTCAGTGATACAGCTCTGTTTATTCAGTGGGGGTCAGGGAAAATATAGTGTGGAGGCAGCAGCCAAAGCTTCAGCTGATAGGTGTTCATAGTATGCTTTATTTGCATGTGGTAGTGGGATCCTATCATCTGTCTATAGGGCAATGCCTAATTATCATATAAAAAAAACCTGGGGCAGTTTTTATTGCAGGTAACTATGCCAAAGGTCATGTTCTGAATAAGGTCAGGCATCCGTGCTTGGAGGCACTTTTTAGGTAAGTCAGGCAGGAAGCCCCTGCTGAGAAAGAAGCCAACCTTAACAGCAGGGTTCCCCAACAGCAGAGGACTGGGTTCAATTCCCAGCATCCATATGGTGGCTAACAACTGCAACTGTCTGTAATGCCAGTTCCAGGGGATCCAACACCTGACCTCTGCAGGCACTGCACAACACAGGTGCACTTATATACATGCAGCCAATACATTCATACACATAAAAATAATAAATATTTAATAAAATAAAACATTGTTTTCTTAAGTTGTTTGTGTCAATAATTCTGTTACAGTGATGTGGTTTACCTTTGTAAACCATACAATGTGTGGTTTACCTTTGTCTCCAGTCATGCAGTTCATTCTATCCCAGAGTTTGTAGTATTGGGGCTGCCCCAGAGACCCAACTTTCTGAAACTCATATGAGGTCTGCTTTACGTGACCAGTCTCTCTCAGTGAGGCTGACTAGAGCTCCCAAACTGGGCTTCTCAGGTTACCCTCCCACCAGCTCCTGGGGTGCATACAGGGCAGAGCCAGGGCAACCTCTAAGGTGCCTTGCTCTTTGTGACTTAGAATCTATACCCTGTGCCCCTCTCCTAGGTCCAGTCTCCTAGGCGCAATGGTAGAATTGGTTAAAATCTGCAGTCTGCCTTCATGCCTCAATCTGTCTTAGTTACTCTTCCTATTGCTGTGATAAAACACCATGGCAGAAGCAACTTCAGGGAGAAAGGTCTATTTGGGCTCATAGTTCAAATTTACAGTCTAGCATGAGGGTAAGTCATGGTGGCAAGAGCTTGAAGAGGTAACTTGTCACATTGCATCTAGGCTCAGGAGGCAGAGAGCCATGGATGCTTGTGCTCAGCTAGCCTCCTCCGTGTTATGGAGTCAAGGACCAAGTCCAAGGAATGGTACCACCTTCCTTTAGGATGGGTCTTCCTATCTCAGTTCTTCCCTCACAAACCTGCTCAGAGGCTAACCTCATCTAGAAAATCTTTTATCTGTGTGCCTAGAGGCTTGCCTCCTAAGTGATTCTAGATTCTGTCAAGTTGGCAATCAGTATTAACCATCACACAGTCCATCTCTTGTCTTCAGGTATCAGACAGACAGAAGTGTCAAATGTACGGTTGGATGGCTGTATGGCAGCTGATGAAGACCACAGATGTTAATGAGCTCGCAGCATGTCACTGCAATCAGAATTCTCCAAAGATGCTCTCTAACAGATCCAACGAGTCTGGGAGGTGGGCTTGCAAGAGGCACAAATAGAGGAATAACAGAAGCCTACTGGGGGAAAGGAGCCATAGGTGCCGAGTGATTGCCAGCTCGGTGGAAGACACGTCCTGCCATCCTTCAGAATCCAGTCATACCTATAGTTTCCTAAAGTCTCCTGGGGGAACATGTGCCCCTATTCATAGTGGGCCAGTTGTCCCTGCTCATGGACACATCAGCCTGCTCTTTGGTCTGGATTCTAGGCTCCCTGTTCCTTCTGCTTGGTGTCTGCACAGGGATGTAAGAGGCTTCATGAAATCACCCTTTCATTAGAGAACCTCCAGGAGACCTCAAGAAGAAACAGCTGCTGCTTCCTCCTCCTCCTCTTCTTCTTCTTCTTCTCCTTCTCCTTCTTCTCCTCCTCCTCCTCCTCCTCCTTCTCCTTCTTCTTCTTCCTCCTCCTCCTCCTCCTCCTCTCGCTCTCACTCTCTCTCCTCCACTCCTCCACCTCCCTTTTATTCTTTTTCTTTCTTTTTTTTTCCCTTTGGTCTTTTTGAGACAGGGGCTCCCTATAGCCCCAGCTGGCCTCGAACTCACTGTGTAGACCAGGCTGGCCTCAAACTCACAGAGATCTACTTGCCTCTGCCTCCCAAGTGCTCGGATTAAAGGTGTGTGCCACCATACTCAGCTCCATTTTTTTCTTCCTTTTGAGACAGGGTCTCACTATATAGTCTTCCCTGGCTGGCCTGGAACTCACTATGTAGTCCAGGCTGGCCTCTAACTCTCACAGATCTACTTGCCTCCCAAGTGCAGGATTTAAAGATATGCACCACTAAGCCTGGCTCCTTTTTTAACTAAGTACCACCTCCAAGCCTTACAAATGCATATGTAAAAAGCTGGTGAATTTATCAAATTTAAAAGGGACTGTAAACTTGTTCGTTTTTTGATTTTAGATATTTGCTTGCATTCAATATATGCATTTTCTGAGAATTCTCTAATTTAATATAGTTAATTATATGTCTGAAAAAGGTGAGCAGAAATTGAGGGGGGAAGAAGGAGAAAGAAAATGAGCACACATAGAAAAATAAGTAAGTCACAGGAACAGCTAGGGGGAAGAAGGCTCTGGAAGGTCTGCAGGTTACACAAATTGCAGAATTCATAGGTGGTGACTTACTACACCGTGTAAGCTTGGCATTTCTCTCTTTAAACCTTTAAATGCCTTTAAAAATTATTACATTTATTTATTTATTTATTTATTTATTTATTTATTTATTTGAGGGCTGCATGTGTTACAGTTTGCATGTGGAGGCCAGAGGACCACTTGGTCCTCCCCTTCTACCATGTGGGTCCCTGGGATTGAACTCAGGTCCTTAGGCTCAGTGGCAAGCACCCTTACCTGCTAAGCCATCTTCATGCCTCCAAACCTTTGGATCCCTTTGATAGGTCACTGAGCTTCCAATCTGTCAGTATTATTTGGGCACCCTACTATGGGCACAATACCCTGTGAGATCTTAGGGTACAAGGATCTCCCTGGAGTCACAGCAGGGCAGATGTGAGTAGAGCAGCCTCAGGACACAGTGAGATAACCAACTGAGGCAGGAGCCACCCAGAAGAAGACCCAAACCCCATCTGGGTGCAGGCACAGAGGCACCCCCAGGAATTGGCCCCTGAAGAGCTGGGACCAGGCCAGGAGGCAGGGGTAGGGTGAAGGACATTCCACCAACAGTGAGTGGTAAGCACAAGGGTGTCCAGGCTCCAGAGTCAGGAGACCAGCCCCCAGGTCTGCTTTCCCTGTGAGCCCCTCGTAGAAGAAAGGAGAGGCAGTCTTCTTTTGTTCCTTAGAAATTCTTTCACCAATGTCCCTTCTCTTACCTCCAGCAGCTGATTAGAGCAGGAAGCAGGGCAGCTATCCTCTCACTGGAAGCCTGCTTTCCACTGCATTGCCTTGTTTGTCCCCAGTCTGGGATGTTAGGTTGTTGCTCTGATCCTTACAGAGTGTCCTAGCAGAGCAGGACCCCCTGCAACCTGTGCAGTAGACATCTCTGGCCGTGTTTAACATTGTCTTCAGTTTCCCTTCAGGCAGCAGTTCCAGCCTCTGGAAAATTGGATCCCTTGATCCCAGGATTAAGCACCAGAACCTAGAATCCCAAAGGCACAATTATCGGGCAGGGCCAAGTGGTCAAACACACTGCTTCTTTTCCTAATGTTCATATTTTGAGGGACCAGACCCCAGGCACCTCTCCGAAGTGCTTCGAAAAGACTGCTTTCCAGCTAAAAGTCTCTGAGTGAGGATTTATCCCTCCCATACACACCCCTCTGTGTAAGCGTCTGTGTGTTTGTGAGTTTGTGTGTCTGTGTGTGTATGGTTATTATATGTTCATGAAGACATATGTGCATCTTTGGGTACGTTTGGGCTCATACATATGGAAGTCTGAAGTTGACCTCTGTTGTCTTCCTTAATCACTTTCCATGTTTTTGGAGACAGTGTTTCTCACTGAACCTGGAGTTCATCAATTCAGCAAGGCTAGCTGCCCACTGAACTCCAGCAATCCTCCTGTCTCTACCTTCCTGTCACTCTAGCTGGCCCATTCCACTGCATCCATCTTTTACATGGATGCTGGGGCTCCAAACTCAGGTCCTTAATTTGCATGTCGGGTGCCATCTCCTCTGCTCCCGGTCAAGGATTTCTAAGTGGCACTATGTTATCCATCCAGAGCAGCCAGGCCTGTCCTGTCCATGTTTCCTGAGTCTTTTGTGCACCAGCAGCCCTGGTGATTAGCTGGATGAAACAGGAGGTGCTCCAGATCACCTCCAAAACGCCGGTGCCCCAGCCCAGGTGCAGATCATGAAGTCCCTGATCTCTATGGGAGGAGGTATCCTGGCCCCATACCCACCTTATTCTCATTCCTACTGCAGTCTGTCAGCTCTGAGTGGTGCAGCTTGCTCAGCTCTCCCAAGGGGTGGCAGGAGCCACTTGGGGAACTGGGAGAAGATACCTGAAGCTGGTTGTGGCTTTATCTAGGGGCTGGTGCTGAATAATGAATTCAACATACATTTCCAGGCTACTGTCTGGGCACCCCCCCCCACACACACACACACACACTACACACACTGGGCTAACAACTCAGAGGGGCGGGGCTGGCACGGCTGCGAGGCTCTGCTAAGCTGAAGGAGCAGCTCGCTCTGTTGCCTTGGTCTCTGTGGGCAGCATCAGGAGGAGGCAGCAGCAGCCGGAGAGGAGGGAGGTGTGCGAGGCACATTCCACCAGATAGCTCCTTGCCGCTGCTCTGCCTGGCACTGCCAGGCTCTCCCCACCAGCATGGCTCTAATTGTCCACCTCAAGACCGTCTTGGAGCTTCAGGGCAGAGGTGACCGGATCGCCAAAGTGACTTTTCGAGGTAAGGAAGCCCCTGTCTCAGAGGGAATGCCAGTTCTGTAAACTGGCCAAGCCTATGTTCTGGGAGTCAATGGGGACAAGGCAGGGTTGGGAGGATGGATGACAAAGTTCTAGCAGGGACGGTAATGGTGAGGGCTTTCAAGGGTGAACATCTGCCCCTGGCCTGGCTGGCCTTGCAGTTTCCTGAAAATCAGCCATCCCCTGTTCTGCTGGCCAACATGCCAGTGTCCCAGCAGGGTGCAGACTCTTGACTCAGCCAGTAGAATTAAGGGGTCAATCCATGGAATCAGGCAGACCTAAGACTGAGGGGGCCCAGCCTAGTGGAGGGGCCCCCTTTCTCCTCTTCCCTACAGATTGGTTTCCATCTGCTGAATAGGAGTCTCTGCCTAAAAGACCCATGTTGGCTGGTAGAAGCCATGGCAGCTAGTGTCTCTCTGCCCTCCCCAGTATGATGGGACTATTGTTGGGCAGGGACACAGCCCCCCGACCTCCACTCTGGTGACTCTTCCTACCCTTTTCATCTCATATACCATGATGCTGGCCTTGACTTCAGAGTAACACATGTGGAGGGGCAGGAGCACCAGTGAGCAAGCAAGAATGACGGATGTAAAATGCTGAGAGGTCAGGGACATAAGCATCCTAATGGAGGCTGGGAGCTGGCAGTCAGGGAAGGCTTCCTAGAGGAGACACAACTAGAGGCTGAGGAATCAGCAGAGGGAGCAAGGAAAGGGGTGACAAAAGAGGAGGGAGAGAGAACAATGTGCCCAAGGAAGAGGAGCTAGAGCAGAAGACAGAGGGCCCACCTGAGTCAGAGCTCAGGGAGGATACAGAAGGTAAAGGTGAAGAGCCAAGGAGGTGAGGCTGGGCTTCATCCAGGGCAGCCAGCAACCCCTGAGAAGTCAAGCAGAGAAAGGAGGGCCAGGCCTACCTCTGCTTTTGCCCACCCACTTCAGCCTCTATACCTGGCCCAGTTCAACTCTCTGGTTCGGAGATGTCCCAGCAGCCTTTGGCCAAAGGTCAGGATGCTCCTATCCACAGGCATCTGCATTATCTGCATTGGCCCTGGGTTCTCTACCTGTTACCTGTTGTTCACAGGATCAGGCAGAGGAGGAAGTAAGTGACAGCCATGTCTGTGAGAAAGAGGAAGATATCAGTAGGGACCAGAGAGCAGACTGAGCCACCTGCTGCTTTTCAGACCACCCCAGTGGTTGCCTTCTCTGTAGTACCCAAGCTCAGCACCTGCCACCTGCCAGCTTGTGCTGGCTGTAGACAAACAAGCGCATCCTTTCTTTCATCCATGGAATGTGGCCCTGTGCTCCACACACAGCCCTGTGCTTGGCTTTTTAGTCCCAGGTTGCTTGGTGGCTACAGTTCTGACAAGCCAGTCCAGGCTGAGCAGGGCCAGTCTTCTTTACAAGCAGAGAAACCAGGGTGTTTACAGACCTTTAGGAAAATAGTGCAGGGGGAGTCAGTGGCCCCAGCCTCATCCTAGCCACTGAATCCTGCAAGCTCCTTTATCTCCTTCCCAATCCACAGGTACCTGTCCATCAGAGACTCATATTTTATTTTTTCTTACTTTCTTGGTAGGGGACAGTTTTGAGGTTGAATCCAGGGTCTCCCAGATGCTAGACAGCTAGACAAGCTCTACCTCTGAACTACATGCATAGTTATCTTTCTCCTGACCTTGCACTCTGTAGCCCAGGCAGGCCTTGAACTCGTAATCCTCCTGCCTCAGCCTCCTGAGTAGCTGGGATTCTAGGTCTCACCATCAGACTCAGCTCCCACCTTTGTTTTTGAGTGGTGAGGCTGACCACCCAGGAATTAGGCTGGCAGATAGTCAGAGGTAGAGTTCCTGGAGCAGGGGATAGCAGTGGGCCTTGGGAAGGGGACAAACAGATTTCCAAAAGGAGAGGACTCTGCAATCCTCTCTATGCATCCAGCAGGTGACAACTATAGGCAGCCCAAAGACCAACATTTCAGAGGGAACCAACTTTGCACAGCCTCTCCTGAGATACAAAACCATGTCCAAGCCACACTTTGCTGGAGGAGAGGTGGGGGCAAGAAACTGGGAGCAGTTACAGGGGCTCACTGGTTCCAAGCTCCCCAACCCTCTCTAGTGAACAGGTGGCAAGTGGGGCGAGGGATAGACCTGGAGTCTGAGGATGAAAGTCAGTCTCTGACCTGATGAACTGTGAGATGCAGGGAGTTGCAGGCTACAGGATCTCCAACCACCTCACAAACCATGATTTTCCTCAGTTTCCCAGTAGCAAGTAAGACACAGCAGCCCCATTGCACTCAGAGGCCCGCAGTCTACAGGAGCCACTGTCTAGAAAGAGGCCATCTACAAGCGCAGATGCCTCTAAAGGAGGCAGAGCAGCTTCAGGTTCCTCAGTTCTCACCTCAGCTTTAATCTACAGAGTCAGAGAATGCAGGCTGGAAGCCATCTCAGGGGTTCATCTGTCTGCCCTTCCACCCTGCGCTCTGTCCCGGAAAGCTCCCCAGGCTGCCAGGAAGTCCAGTGACAGACTGTGGTCTCTTCATGTGCCCACCCCTGGCCTTCTTGCCAAAACATAAGACTAAGGATTTTCCACGTGGGACATGGATGCCTTTCACAGCTCCTGGCTTTGATACTGTTTCTTTAGCCTAGAATGGCCCCATCCTCTACCTTGAGAATTTCCATTCTGTGCATCCTTCAAGGCCCAGCTCATATGCTACTTCCTCTATGAAGTCCTTTCCTTCCTTCCACACTCTCCTACAGCTCTGCCATAGTGGTACTATAGGAATGGGCCACACTTCAGTGAGCTGCACTATCCCCCGAGCGCCCTCAAGACAGAGTGGATCTCAGTTGAGCTGCAAGCTAAGTGATGATCATCACTGATGAATAAGAAATGACTTCTCTCTGTGAGGTCTTCCTTGGTTGTTTGTTTGTTTGTTTGTTGTTTTTTTGTGACAAGGTCTCGTGTAGCCCAGGCTGGCCTTGGACTCATTGTGTAGCTGAGGATGATCAGTTTGTATTACTATGTACCATGCCACAGCTCAGTTCCTCAACTGTCAACTCTACCAGAACTTTATCTTAAAGGGATCATAGAACAGGAAAAGGCCTCAGGAGCCAAGAACCGAGAACCCTGGCTCTAATTCTATTGGCCTCCCTAGCTCAGAGAACCTTCAGGGCCCCAGAGGAAGGCAAGTCTGGGAGACCAGCATAGAAATTCCCTCTTCATTAAAGAGCAGGGTACAGAAGGGAAGGAGACAGAGCCAAGGTCTTCCAACCTGAGAGAAGTCCAGCCATAGGGAACCAAAGTACAGGACAATCAAGGGCCAAGGCTTGCTGGGCACAGGGCAGATATAATTTTTAGAACATGGCACTTACACAGAGCTGTCAGGGTGGCCTTCCTGTAAGAGGAGGCAGGATTTGCCAGGAAAAGCAGCTCTTAAGCTGGGTCTTAAATGACATCCCTGCATATTTAAAGAGGTAGAGAAGGTGAATATGGGTTGACTATAACAGAAAGTTCATTCTAGGTAAGAGACTGACAGGACCAGAGGCAGCAGGGTAGACTCCCCTGTGGCTAGAGCAAAGGTTGCAGGAGGCAGGGGTGGGTAGGTGGTGACTGTGCCTGAAGGGGTCAGGCCCAGCCTAGGGACAAGCCCTTGAGGACAAGATTTCCCCTACTGTTAATGCAGTAAAAAGCTCAGCCTCCAAATAAGATTTCCATCCCTAAGTAAAATGGGGGCACTCTCTTTTTTGCTGATAAATAGGAATTCTTTCTGGAAACTTCCCTGCCACCCCCAGTAAGGGAGGCAGACTATCCAGGGTTCTATCCCTAGGATTTCTTTGGATGCCTAGGCCGCCTATGGACCCCAGCCCAACACCTCTGCTCTTGGACAATTGGGAAGGTGTTACTGTCACTGAGGGCAGCAGATGGAGGGGCCTTTCTGGACAGCAGCTGCAGCCTGTGACTGATACGGACACAGCACTGTGCCTTTGACCTAGACCCAAGGAATTCATCCTTAGCAACCTCAACTCTTCCAGCGCATACAGACCCCCTCCCCATCCCTGGGGGACCCTTCCTGCCAAAACCCTAGGTAGTAGGTGGTCCTTTTCTTCCTACTCTGAGCAAGCCCAAGCAGACACAGATCTGCCTGGCCAGCGGTGCACCTAGAACATTTCTGAGGCCTTCCTGCTTTGATAGGAGAGGATTTTTTTTTTCATGCTATGAAAATGACTGTAAAATTGTCTTCCATTACAAAGGCGCTCAGCAAAACACTGCTGGAAATGTACAACTTTGACTTGCAAATGCTCTCAGAGTGTGCAGGAAGCCTTGGCTATCCTGTCCATCTCTACTGTCAACAAAAGCTACTTTTCTCCTGCCTATACCCATCCCTCAGTCAGAAAACTATATTTTTTTTACAACAAAAAGCTTGAAATATATGCAAGAGAAGAGGACAAATACTTGGTCAACGTCAGTTTCCCAATTGTCTCATAAATGTTGAAAATTGTCTCTGGCTTTCTAAAAGCTTCATTTTATGTGTCTTGTGAATCAACTAGTTATTGATTCATTCATTTATTCATCCAAAATATTCTTTGAGGGTCATCTATGTACGATGCAATGTTCTAGACCCTGGGAGGACAGAAAGGAAACCCTCAAGGGAAGCAATCTAGCACCAATATTGTGAATGTGCAGAGGATTCCAGAAAGGGAGGCACAGATGTCAAAGCAGAACATGGCCAGGGAAACCCCCTGAGACCAGGAGGGTGAACTGCCCTGACAAGGTGAACCAGAGGGTGTCAGGGAAAGAGGCAGGAAGTGACTGTTGGGTGGTGGGCAAGATGATCTGAAGTGGGCAGGGTCTGGAGAGGGCTATCAGTGAGCAAGGAATGTGCCTCTATGGAAGTTGCCCCTGAGAGGTTAGAGGATCTTAACAGGGGCAAGCCACCCTCCAGAAAGATTGGTGTTATATAGGGAGGTGAGTCAGGGATCTGGGGAGCTGGGAGTGTGGGTGA